AAGGACAGGGTTTGCTGTTATTTCAAAGGCTAGTACTAAAGCTTTGGGATAAAGACAGTAATCAGAGGCTACACATTAAAAACAGGCACGGGTAGAGTGTAAGAAGCACTTTGACAACACACCCAGTTGATTTGGGGACCATCCAGGAGAAACTGTTGGTCTGGAAAGTTCCATGTGTGAGCTGTGTTAAGGCTGTGTTTGTGTGGAGACATGGGACCTTCCTGTAGAGTGTGACAGTGGGGACAGATGGGGAAACTCCTTCTCTTTGATCAGTGTGTACATGGCTTGCACTCTGTGACCCTGAGACCCCAGAGCTTCTGTTCAAACCCTCTCTGCAGGGGACAGGGGTGGGTGGTGGCTCAGGCTCCAGGTGAGGCTGTGTGCTGCAGAGAAAAGAACCCCAGAAAACTCAGCATTAAAACGAAGCTGGTGTCACTTCCAGGACAAGCATGGAGCTGGAGAGATTGCTCAGGGCTGAAGAGCACTCATTGCTCTTCCAAAGGACCTGGGTTCGGTCCCCAGCTCACACCCACCTGTAACTCCAGCCCACCCCACCCCACCCCGGCCCAGGATGGGGGGATAGGCTGCCCTCTTCTGGCCGCCCGGGGCACTGCACTTATATGGTGCAGGGACATAACACCCTGGTCAAATACCCTTACACATAAAAATAAATATTTTTAAAAGAAAGGAGAATAAATGGAGGACAATAAGATTTCTGTAACGAATTAGGTCCCTGAACTGTGTTGGGGGTCATTACAGCACGAGGGGACCTCCATGCCCCTCCTACACCACTCTAGGGTCCCCTGCACTAGTGCTCACTGATCTTAGGGGTGAGCGAGGGAAGGGAAATTAACCCAACTTCCCCTACAGAGTGGCCCCGGATGCTGCTGTAGGTCTGTGAAGCCTGTGTGTTCATTTATGCTGTTTGTTTTATCTTGCTGTAGCCCAGGTTGGCCTTGATTCTTGATCCTTCTGTCTCCTCTCAGCATGCCAAGTGCCAGATTGTATGTGTGTGTGTGTGAGTGTGTGTGTGAGTGTGTGTGTGAGTGTGTGTGTGAGTGTGTGTGTGAGTGTGTTGAGCGAGGGAAGGGAAAGCCACCCACCTTCCCCTACAGAGTGGCCCCGGATGCTGCTGTAGGTCTGTGAAGCCTGTGTGTTCATTTATGCTGTTTGTTTTATCTTGCCTGTTATTTCAAAGGCTAGTACTAAAGCTTTGGGATAAAGACAGTAATCAGAGGCTACACATTAAAAACAGGCACGGGTAGAGTGTAAGAAGCACTTTGACAACACACCCAGTTGATTTGGGGACCATCCAGGAGAAACTGTTGGTCTGGAAAGTTCCATGTGTGAGCTGTGTTAATGCTGTGTTTGTGTGGAGGACATGGGACCTTCCTGTTGAGTGTGACAGTAGGGACAGATGGGGAAACTCCTTCTCTTTGATCAGTGTGTACATGGCTTGCACTCTGTGACCCTGAGACCCCAGAGCTTCTGTTCAAACCCTCTCTGCAGGGGACAGGGGTGGGTGGTGGCTCAGGCTCCATGTGAGGCCCTGTGCTGCAGAGAAAAGAACCCCAGAAAACTCAGCATTAAAACGAAGCTGGTGTCACTTCCAGGACAAGCATGGAGCTGGAGAGATTGCTCAGGGCTGAAGAGCACTCATTGCTCTTCCAGAGGACCTGGGTTCGGTTCCCAGCTCACACCCACCTGTAACTCCAGCCCACTCCACCCCACACCACACCGGCCCAGGATAGGGGATAGGCTGCCTTCTTCAGGCCGCCCTCGGCACTGCATTCACATGGTGCAGGGACATAACACCCTGGCCAAACACCCTTACACATAAAAATAAATATTTTTAAAAGAAAGGAGAATAAATGGAGGACAATAAGATTTCTGTAACGAATTAGGTCCCTGAACTGTGTTGGGGGTCATTACAGCACGAGGGGACCTCCATGCCCCTCCTACACCACTCTAGGGTCCCCTGCACTAGTGCTCACTGATCTTAGGGGTGAGCGAGGGAAGGGAAATTAACCCAACTTCCCCTACAGAGTGGCCCCGGATGCTGCTGTAGGTCTGTGAAGCCTGTGTGTTCATTTATGCTGTTTGTTTTATCTTGCTGTAGCCCAGGTTGGCCTTGATTCTTGATCCTTCTGTCTCCTCTCAGCATGCCAAGTGCCAGATTGTATGTGTGTGTGTGTGAGTGTGTGTGTGAGTGTGTGTGTGAGTGTGTGTGTGAGTGTGTGTGTGAGTGTGTGCGCACTTGTGTGCTTCTGTGTGTGCACATGAATGTGAGTGTGTGTGTTTGTGCTTGTGTGCGTGCATGTGTGTGTGCACATGAGTGTGAGAGTGTGAGTGTGTGTGTGTGTGTGTGTGCTTGTGAGGGGAGAAGAGAGAGAGAGAGAGAGAGAGAGAGAGAGAGAGAGAGAGAGAGACCACAATTGGAGAGAGTTCAGTAACAATTGAGGGAGGACCTTGAAATAGATCTTCCTCGCATCAGCCCGGGGATCGCAGGTCCCGTGCACACTGCAAAGCAGAGGCTCCAGGGCTGAAGAGAAAATCTCTCGCTGATTTGGGATGAAGTGGACACAGGTGACAGCTCCCTGCCTTCCCCAGTTCACAGCAGCCCTGGTGAGCAGGGGGCTCTGATCAGCTCCCACCCTGGGTCCTGCTGCCCCCTGGCGGCCATCAGCGGCCTCGCGGCCTCCAAGGGTCCGGGATGGACAGGGAGCGCACAGTTAATTGTCCATCAGACCGCAGGCTGCAGGGTTCTGGAGCCGCCCAGGCTGTCTGGGCCACCCTGAGGAACCGCTGTCCCCTGCACAGCCCCTCACATCACAGCGTCAGTTCCCTTTCCTTCAGTTGCTGACGTTGCCCGGGATTTCATCCAGGGCTTCCTGTGTGTCGAGCATGTCCTGACTGACCACACCTCAGCCCCACTAGCTTAGTTTGGTGTAACCCACGCAAAGAAAGGCCCCGGTGTCTTTGAGACACCTGTAATCCCAGCCCTCAGCAGGCAGAGGCGGGGATCTCTGAGTTCCTGAGCACATAGCAAATCCCAGGACAGCCGGGGTGTGAGGTGAGACCAGAACACGGGGATCCCCAAGACTGACAGTGGAGAGGGGGTGCAGTAGGGGGTAAGGTGTGGCAGGAGGGAAAGGGCCATGAAGGAGTCCCAGGCCGGGACTGGGGTGAGCCTGTGGCCCCCGCCTAGTACTGAGCCAGGTGAACCTCAGGGAACCTTGGAGCCAGAGCGAGCCTGGAAAAGCTGGAACTTGGCCCAAGGAGGGGAAAATAGCAGTGGACTGGGCGAGCTCCATAGGACAGCACTTGACCCCACCCACAAGACCTATGGCCCAATCAAGAGCGGCTTTCAGAGTCTCCCTCCTTCTCTCCCCTTCTCTGGGCTTCAACATGCCAGATCCTCAGGTGCTCGGCAAAGATGCCACTGACCACGTACCTGAGAGTGAATGGGGTGGAGGAGATGACCTCAGGTGTGTGTGTGTGTGTCAATGTGTGTGAGTGTGTGTGAATGTGTGTGTGTGTGTGAATATGTGTGTGTGTGTGTGTGTGTGTGGTGTGTGGACAGCACCTGAAATTTTCCCCCACATTGTCAAAGGAACCTAAAGACTGCCATCCACCTGGCAAACTTCCTGCCACTGAACTATGATCCGCCCCTCTACATTTTTTTTAGATTTATTTATTTATTTATTTATTTTGGTTTTTTGAGACAGGGTTTCTCTGTGTAGCTTTGGAGCCTATCCTGTCACTCGCTCTGGAGACCAGGCTGTCCTGGAACTCGCAGAGATCCACCTGCCTCTGCCTCCCGAGTGCTGGGATTAAAGGCGTGCGCCACCACCGCCTGACCTTATTTATCTTATGTATATAGTGTTCTATCTACATTCACACCTGCAGGCCAGAAGACGGCACCAGATCCTATTACACATGGTTGTGAGTCTTCATGTGATGCTGGGAATAGAACTCAGGACCTCTGGAAAAGCAGCCAGTGCTCTTAATCCCTGAGCCCTCTCTCCAGCCCTCTCATGCCGCCCCCACCCCCCAGTGCCCTTTACTTTTAAGAACTGGTCCACACTGGTCTTGAACATATTCTGTAACCCAAGCAGGCTCTCCATCCATGCCTCATTCTCCCAATTAGCTGGGATTACAGGTCTACAAACCATACTGGCTTTTAAGACTTGGTCAAGGTTGCTGGGTGGTGGTGGAGCACCCCTTTAATCCCAGCACTCAGGAGGACCTCTGTGAGTTTGAGGCCAGCCTGGTCTACAGAGTGAGTTCCAGGACAGCTGGGGCTGCACAAAGAAACCCTGTCTGGAACCTCCCAAAGGACTTGTTCCTTCACTCTGTAGGTCTCGACCCCTTTGGGTGTTGAAGGACCCCTTCATAGGGGTTGCTTAAGACCATCAGAAAACACAGACATTTACATTAGGATTCATAACAGTAGCAAAAGTGCAATTATGGAGTGGCAATGAAAATAACTTTATGCCTGGGATCTCCACAGCATGAGGAAATGTAGTAAAGGGTGGCAGCATCAGGAAGGGTGAGAACCACTGCTCTGCTTGCTTCTCTGGGCACATAAGCAGGGCCGCAGGATGGGTCTGAGTCTAGTGTGATGGACAAGGTATGTGTTTTAGAGACAGTCTCACCCGCCCCAATGTCTGGGTGCAGGTGTTGCAGGCCCTCCGCCCTCAGATGAGTTGTGACATCCACTTAGGGGCTGAGACAGACAATCTCAGTCATGTGGTCTTTTCCCACGCTAACCCTCGGGGTAGGGCCCAAAGGTTTCCTGGTCTGGTGACATGTGCCACCTTCCTGGAGAGCTACAAAGCAGTCCCCTCCCTAAGCAACCTAGCCACTGTTGGGTCAGAGCAGCGAGAAACCATAGGTTACCACCCTGCCTCCTTCCTGGATGGAGGGTGGGAACCAGAGAGGTCGACAGAAAGGAAATGCTGGAGAACTCGAAGGCCCCAGGACAAAGGAGAGGAAGCTGTCACAGCACATTAAGTCTTGTTATTGCCTACAGATAGACAGACAGACAGACAGACAGAGTGAGGTGATGGGTTAGTGTTCAAGTGGAGACCGCAGACCACCAAGCGACAGGAGAGTGGAGGCCGCCTCCACCGCTCTTCTAAGAGTTGAGACTCAGTCAGAGATGAAGCAGTGGGGGCTCTCACAGGTGTGAACCAACAGGGTGGCGGTGACAGGGATGGGAAAGTCACAAAGTCACCTCAGAGGTCCAGGAAGACCTGGCCTTGGGCACACTCTCTTGAGGCTGAGTCCTGCAATGGAGGCCGGAGGAGGACTGTGGAAGCCTCAGAGACAACAAGAAGGGAAGGGGACCCGGGTGACAGTGTGTGACATGCAGAGCCCGTGGAAGCCGGCAGGTCCCAGTGTTGGGTGACTGCAGAGTCCTCGGGAGCTGTCAGCCCTGGAGACAGAGTCAGAAGTTGGGCTTGTGCTTCTTGAGCTCCACCATGAGGTGATGAATGTTGATGAGCTCGGCCCTGGCTGGCAGTGCCCGCAGCTGCGGCTGTGCCAGCACTCGGTGGAAGCGATGGTAGAGCTGGATCAGCTGGGTCAGCGCCCCCTGCACAGAGAGGAAAGTCGGGGTCAGACTGACGGTGACAGGAGGTCAGAGCTTCACCGGGATCTCAGACACAGCTGTCATTGACTTCCCAGAGGAAAGAGCAAGCAATCAAGCGTGGGACTTGGCAAAGGCTGGAGTGGCGGCACCTGGATGATGCTGGTTCCGTTTCGAAAGTTGGTGAAACTCCGCATTACATCCTGACTCAGAGACTCCACCGACGCCTTCCAGGAACCACCAAAGCCACGGATCAGCTGAGTGACTCTGGCTGCCCACGGGAGGGAAGGGAGTGTCAGAGAGCAACCAGGCCTGGGGACCATCCACCCCGGCGAGGCCTGCCTGGGGCACAGCCATGCTCACCCTCAATCCCGGCTCCCTGGTGCTCCTCCATTCAAGTCCTCCCCTCTGTGCCACCGCCCCTGAGACCTGCACACTCTCACTGTCCTTTTAACTCAGCTCCCCACAGTCCCGCGACAACAGTCTCATACCTTCTTCCCCTCGAAGTCGCTCAGCCTGTCCACGCTCAATCAAAGCCTCAGCCTCCTTCACAAACGCCACCAGACCCCCGAAGGGGGGAGACAGCAACTCTTCAATGAATTCCTAGAGAGAAGTGCAAGCTGGAACTGAGTCAGGGGTCCTGGGAACAAAGGACCCCAACATGGACTGGGAGGACTAGGAGGGGACACTCCACAGAGCAGCCGGCCTTGGGGAGGAGGGGAGAAGTGCTTGGTCCCCAGAACACAAAGTGGAAGAAGCAAGAAAGGAACCCAGTCCTGACATTGTCCTATGACCTCCATGTGTTTCACAACATGTGCCTGGGAGTGCGCTATATGTGCACACACACACACACACACACACACACACACACACACACACACACAAATAATGCCCTGCAAAGCAGGTGTAAACACACACATACATACATACTTATATACACACATACATACACCGTTATAGTTTTTTGCTTTTAAGTTATTAATTTATTGATAAATTAAATGAGACAGACTAGCAGCAGGCAGTGAGTTGTCACCATGACTGCACACTGAGGTCTCCCTGCCAAGCCCAGGCCCTACCTGTGTCCGCGCATTGAGCAGCTGCTGGAAACTCTCCACCTCTTTGCTGTCGTCAGCAGCCCGCTCCTAAGGAAGACAAAGAGTGAGGAACTTGGGAACAGCCTTCAGCCCAGCACCTCCTGTAATCGCACACCACACCGCAGACACTGCCAGAATCCAGGGCTAAAGCCCCCTTGGTGAGGCTGACGAGCATGGGCACGCCCCGTGGGGGAGGGCAGCATTACCATCAGCACACCCAGCATCATGTCGTAGTTGTTGATCAGAAACACGAGCTGCTCCTTCCTGGAGGAGAACTCCGCAGCCACTCGGAGGACAAAGTTCTCCACCTCCACCTGCAAAAGCCAAACAGAGAGCAAGTCAGAGACACAGGTCCCAGGGCCCCTCCCCATGCTGGGAAGCCTGCCCGCCCCGCCCGGCCCACCTGGAGCTGCCCCAGCAGCTGCAGGGTGCGCTCATTGGGGATGGTCTGGTTGATGCTGACAAGGGCAGACGAGAACTCGGCATAGCGGCGCGTGATCTAGGACCAAGGAGGGGAGACGCCCATCAGCCTGCCAGGCCGACATAACCTCCCAGCAGCCTCTGCAGCTCCTGTCCCCAGTCCCTCCTCCTGCAGTGGCCAGCCCACCGCTGCGTGTGACCCCGAGACCCCTTGTTATCCTCCCCCGCCCTCACATAGTGGGGCCGCGTGTCCAGTCCTCCGAGGCGCTGGGGGTCGGTGGTGCGGACACTCTGGACGTTCATCTCCAGGATCAGCTCAAACCGAGGCCACAGCAAGGCCAACACCTGCTCCCAGTACCTGCAGGGTCAGTCAGAACCAAAGGTCAGCAGGCTACGGGTGCTGGCAGGCCATGGGGGCACAGCACCCTTCAGGGGAATGTGAGCGGGTGTGTGTGTGCCTGTGTGTCCGTGTCTGTATGCACGGATGTGTGTGTGTGTGTGTGTGTGTGTGTGTGTGTGTGTGTGACAGGGATGCTGCCTTGGGGACACACACAGGATAAGGGTGAAGGACATCGGGTGAGGAGGAGCCAGGGGCAGGGTGGAGTTGTCGGTGTGAGATAAAAAGCTGGACCCAGCAGGCACCAGGACCAGAGCTCAGTGACCTGTCCAGAGCAGGGACATCCCTCTTCGATGCAATGCTGCGGAATCGGAGGACAATGTGGATACAGAGAAAAACAGCAATGGCGTCATAGCAGTCGGCCAGGTAGGACTCCAGGTGTTTCTGCGGCACAGCAGGCAGACAACTGAATGCTAGTTTGAAGTTCCAGTGGCTATGAGCAAATGGATGTGCACTTCTGGGGACAAGGCGCTGGCTAGGGAGACACCTCCTTCCTTGTCCAGGGGCCCTGACTTACTCACTGGCCTCAACTCTGTAAGCTCCTCACAGTTGAAGCCAGGGCTGAGCCTGGGATGGAGGTAAAGGATCGCGATTTAGAGGTCTTGCTCTCTGCTTGTGGAAACAGAGGAAGCAGCAGGTCCCCCGAGTTCTGAGGGTTTCCTAGGGGGCCATGTTGTGAGATAAAGGCTTGGACAACGTAGAACGGGACATCCTGCATTCAATACTGCCACTGTGACCCCACTGGACGTGGAGGAGCCCTGGGAAGGGAGAGTAAAAGCACAGAATCGGGGACTTACCAGAGTCATGGCGAGCGTGCGGCCCATGACAGCATGGAACAGGTCATGTGCAGCTGGGCCAGACACAACAAAAAATTCACAGATGAAAAGATACTCCCGGCAGGAATTGTCAAGGAGCGCGTAGTGCTGGCTGCGGAAGAGAGCTTCAAACGGATACTACGGGACAGAGAGAGGGGTGGATCCAACACTGACCCCGCAGATACGGGGGCTCAGTGTATCCCAGGAACCAGAGCTCGGAAGACCCCACACATACCTCACCTCCAGGAAGGGAGGGGCACCCTGGGGGCGCACAGGACACAAGGAAAGCCCACCCCACTGGCTGCGGCCATCCCCACATCCACTCCAGCTGCTGCCTCATGACAGCCACCCCACGACCAGTCTCCCTCTGCACCCTAAGCCCATGGCTCCTGTCCCCACAGCGCAGCAGGCGAATTGATCCCCAGCCACGGAGGGGGCCTCCTCATACCCTCTGCTCCCCACGCTGGGCAGTATGGGGCACCAGGATGGGGGCCTCCAGTTCGGTGGGGGAGATGACCGCACCACGGGTGCCCAGGGTGAAGATGGTGTTCCTGCTTCGGAGGGACGGCTTCGAGAAGAATCGTGAACAGCATCAGAGTCAGGGAAAACACTGAGAATGACCAAGCAGGCCATGAAGCCAAGACCTGAGCACTCTGGGAAGCTAAATATGAGCTGGACATCCCTTCCAGAACCAGGGCCTCGCTTCACCTGATACCTGTAATGGGCGTCAGGGATTCTACAAGCCCTCCGAAATCCACGTGAAAAACTGTCAGAATGATGTGAGCCTCTGGGAGGGGAGCTCTCGCTCTCTCTCACATCCTCAAAGGTTACATCCCAGACACAGGGTAAGCAGAGGCCTGTGGGCTGGAGCCAGGCATCCCCACTGTGAGCCTGACAGGAGGTGAGCCTGACTTGAGGGAGGTGAGCCTGACTTGAGGGAGGTGGAGCCTGACTTGAGGGAGGTGGAGCCTGACTTGAGGGAGGTGGAGCCTGATTTGAGGGAGGTGGAGCCTGACTTGAGGGAGGTGGAGCTTGACTTGAGAGAGGTGGAGCCTGACTTGAGGGAGGTGGAGCCTGACTTGAGGGAGGTGGAGCCTGACTTGAGGGAGGTGGAGCCTGACTTGAGGGAGGTGGAGCCTGACTTGAGGGAGGTGGAGCCTGACTTGAGGGAGGTGGAGCCTGACTTGAGGGAGGTGGAGCCTGACTTGAGGGAGGTGGAGCCTGACTTGAGGGAGGTGGAGCCTGACTTGAGGGAGGTGGAGCCTGACTTGAGGGAGGTGGAGCCTGACTTGAGGGAGGTGGAGCCTGACTTGAGGGAGGTGGAGCCTGACTTGAGGGAGGTGGAGCCTGACTTGAGGGAGGTGGAGCCTGACTTGAGGGAGGTGGAGCCTGACTTGAGGGAGGTGAGCCTGACGCGAGGCTCCCTGGTCCAGGATATCTTTCTTTGCTGTGTCTTCCACACCCATCAGATCGTCCTTCTCAGCAACTTCCTCGTACTAGAGAAAACAACAGAGAGCTCAACCATGGCTGCCCACCACCAGCAGGTGAGGAACTCAGTCCCTCCTCCAAGCCCCTGCCTACAGACACCTGTCCCCGCCTGTCCCTGCCTGGCTCACCTGCACTTTCATGAGCCGCCCCAGATAGGAGCGGAAGTAAGACAGGTAGATCTTGCTCAGCGTCTCCACGTACTCATCCCTGATCTCCTTGGCTGTTGCTCGCTCGTTGCCCAACAGGAACTGATAGAAGAACCTGGAAGGGCCAGGGCGAGTCAGACCCTGGACATCCATGCTGGGCCGTTAAGAAGCTCACAGGCCGCCCTGTGCCCATCTCGGGTGGCGACCTGTACTTCAGCAGGGCCGTCTGGGGGATCTGATAGTTGGTCATCGGCTTTCTGAATGAATAAATCTTCTGGAGGATGAACTCTCGGATCTTCGTCACCGCCTAGGTGAGGGGACAAACAGGTCATGATGTTGTGGGCTCTTACTGTGTGGAGGAAGGAGGAGACAGACGTGACGGCGAAGGGGAGGGAGAGAATACTTCCGATGTGTGCTGTGTTATTATTTATTTACTTTTGTTGAGTCGGGGTTTCTGTGTGTAGTCCAGGCTGTCCTGGAACTCACACAGGTCCATCTGCCTCTCCCTCCCCAGTGCTAGGGCTAAAATGTCTTACCACCATGCCTGGCCTCACATTTTCAGGTTATCTGTTTCTTTTTTCCCTTTTAAATATGGAATGCTTTATCAATTTTTGTGTCCTTACACAGAGGCCATGCTAATCTTCTCTGTAGTGCTCTAATTTGAGTTTCTATGCTGCCAAAGCCAGCACTGTTTGGTTTTGAGACAGAGTCTCATGTACCTCTGTACACACCGGAAGTATTCTCTCCCTCCCCTCCACGGTCCTGTCTGTCACCTCCTTCCTTCCTTCCTCACAGTAAAAGCCCACAACGCCCTGTGCCGCAGAGATCACTCTGAAGCTTCAGATCTTCTTCCTGTCATCTCATGAGTTCTAGCACAGTAGACAAGGGCCACCATGCCCATGTTTGCAGAGCTGGGGGTGGATCCCAGGGCTTCGGGCGCCCTAAGCAAGCCCACTACCCGCTGAGCCACAGCTCCAGCCTCTGCTGGGGGGGGGGGAGCCTGACTTGAGGGAGGTGAGCCTGACTTGAGGGAGGTGAGCCTGACACGAGGCTCCCTGGTCCAGGATATCTTTCTTTGCTGTGTCTTCCACACCCATCAGATCGTCTTTCTCAGCAACTTCCGCGTACTAGAGAAAACAACAGAGAGCTCAACCATGGCTGCCCACCACGAGCTGTTCCAGAAACCTGGGCTCTGTCACTGGAGCTTCCAGAATGGCTCTGTGGAGCAGGGAGGAGAGGGGTGATTGGAAGGGGCACTCGACAGTCCTGAAACAGACGCAAGCCACACCCCTCCTGACATGTCTACCTCTCCTCAGTCTCATACCTTCATCATAGGTACGAAGATTTCAACTCCTGAGCCCCACCTCTCCACAGGCCCCGATACACATCTGACATTATAATCCATCCATTAATCTCTAGAATGCACCTTTTTTTTTTAGAAGGTCCCACTCTGTGGCCCAGGCTGGTGACTTGCAGCAATCCCCCTGCCTGACCTCCCAATCGTGTGCTTACAGGCTTGAGCCAGCACACCTGGTACCTAAACAGCACTTGACAACCTCAGCCTGGACCTATGTTGTAGACTGGATAGGTACCCCAGCTCAACCACCTGCTCTGGACATCACGACCCTTCAAACCATCGACTCACGTGACCAGAGTAGAGGGCACCACCAGCCCATCTACAAGTTCCCCAAGCTTCCCCCGAACAGCTTGTCGATTACGAAGACGGATGTTCATGGCTCCTGACTGCTCCTGAAGGGTCCGGATCTCAGAGCTGATGGAGCTCAGGTCGCTCTGAAAAGCTCCCAGCATCTGCTCCATGCGCTATGGGAAGGGCAGAAAACACTGTAGGCATGCCACAGGGTTGGCAGGGACAAGTGTGTCACCCAAGTGTCTGAGTGAATACCCCAGTATCCAACAGCTCAGGAGCATGGAAAACCTCCATTTGCCCAAGGAAACAAAAGTGCTGACAAAACAAAAAAACAAAACAAAACAAAAAAAAAAACAGAGGGTGTCAGGGGCCACAGGGGAGGGACACCTACCTCCAGGACAGCGTCGCAGGCTGTGATCTGATTGTGCAGGGACGCTATGTTTTCACTCTCTTGGATGTCTGACCCACAAAAGTCAAGGGCTTCACAGTGAACACAGAGCTCTGAGGACCAGCATCGCCTCCCCCTAGTGTCCCCAAAGGGACCGAGAGAGATGCCACCCTACCGGGTTACCTGCATCACAGCTCCCACACCCCAGGTCAGTGACAGCGCGTGTCTTCCCCTGTGCGTTGGATACAGTCCCGGGGTCCCACACCCCAGGTCAGTGACAGCGCGTGTCTCCCCTCTGCGGAGGATACAGTCCCGGGGTCCCACACACCCCAGGTCAGTGACAGCGCGTGTCTTCCCCTGTGCGGAGGATACAGTCCTGGGGTCCCACACCCCAGGTCAGTGACAGCGCTCTCTTCCCCTCTGCGGAGGATACAGTCCCGGGGTCCCACACACCCCAGGTCAGTGACAGCGCGTGTCTTCCCCTGTGCGGAGGATACAGTCCCGGATGGATTTCTGCTCAATATGCTGCAGCTCCAGCTCCACCTGCTTGGAATAGTGTCGCAGATCCACACCCTGGGGGAAACCAGGAACAGTCAGGATGAAGCCACAGTGAAAGGACACCAGAACAGACTCAGTGACTGGCTAGAGGGGACACATAAGACCCCGAGGAGAGGAGGGCGGGGACAGATCGGCATAGCGGAGAACCTCACCGTTTTGAGGGCTTCCTTCACTAACTCATCCTCCAGATTTGCCTGAATGTGAACTGGAAACAGACATTCATCACTAGGGTCCGGCGCCACGCCCCCCTCTGCCAGCATCAGGTACCCGCACACCAATCTCCCCTTTCCTTCCAGCCCCCATCCTCTCAAGGTAAAAGAACAGTCGCTTTGACTTTCTGCTGTTTCAGTTCCTCATAGTCTAGTCAACCACAAGCCAAAAATATTAAATGGGAATTCCCAATCGTGGCTCGGAGGCTTTAAAGTGTGTGGCACTCTGAGAAGCTGAAGGGCCTCTCACCCGCCTTGGATTTATTTGGATTTTCTTTGCTGGATGAATCTATGGTGTGTGTGTGGTACGAGTGTCCCAGAGATCAGACTGGCTGTCTGCACATGTCCATGTTCAAATACACACTTTGTTTTTTCTTAATAATCCCAAAGAGCAAGACTGTCAATGCAGCAATTTATCACAGTGGGCTGCATCATTACCCCACTCTTGCTATGCCTAAATTAGAAAGTAACCCTTCTCATTCAACTTTACACTACATTAGTAAAAAACATGCAGGGGTTAGTATGGGGGGTCACCTAGTGGGGGTCCTCTACTATATTCCTAAAGGATAAAGGGGGCTGGCTACTTTGCCCCCACCCCATGCCACCACTTACCATCCACTTCATCCAGGATGAATTCATCAGAGGTGATATCCAACTCCCCAAGTTGCAGGGGCTCTTGGAGACCAGAAACACCCCCCTGAAGAGGGACAGATTAGTGAGTGCGAGATACAGAAAGAAACGCTAGAAAAAAAACAAGGGCATATCCCTGCTCCTGAAAGTGGGTTGAGGGCGCTTTTTCAGGGGAGCCATAGTTAGTGGGTCAAAGATCCTGACACACGGGGGAGGGAGCTAGGAGAATGAGAAGGGGGAAAAGAGAGAGATGTGGGAGCAGAAAGGCTGAGTCAGGGGAAGAATAGAAGATAACAAGAATGGAGACACCATAATAGAGGGAGACATTTTAGGTTTACAGAGAAATCAGGCACTAGGGAAATGTCTGGAGATCTACAAAGATGACACCAGCTAACTATCTAAGCAACAGAGGAGAGACTACCTTAAATGCCCTCCCCTGATAATGAGATTGGTGACTGACTTATAGGCCACCCAATAGCCCCCATCCAGCAGCTGGTGGAAGTAGAAGCAGACACCCACAACTAATCACTGAACTGAACTGGAATCCAGATGCAGAGAAGGACAAATGAAGGGATCCAGACCAGGCTGGTGAAACCCACAGAAACAGCTGCATGGGGGAGCTCTTGGTCCCCACACTGATAGCTGGGAAACCAGCATGGGACTGATCCAGACCCCAGGAACGTGGATTTCAGTGAGGAAACGTCAGAAATCTATGGGACCTCCTGTAGTATTTCTGTAGGTTTGGACTTTGGGAGCCCAATCCACATAGAGGGATACTCTCTGAGCCAAGACAAACGGGGGTGGTCCTAGGCCCTATCCCAAAGGATACCATAGACTCTGATGGCACCCCATGGAAGGCCTCACCATCCAGGGGGAGCAGAAAGGATATGTGATAGGTAGGGTTTTAGTTGGGGGGCTGGTAAGGGAGGAGGGGAGGAAGAGAGAACTGGGATTGTCATGTAAAACAATCTCGTTTCTAATTCAAATTTTAAAAATCTGCAAAAAAAAAAAAAAACCAATCCTGACACACTCAAATCTACTTTTCTGGGCTAATGAGTAAAAAATATGTCACTAAATCAAGCAATTCATGGAGTCGCTGGAGGTGTTCAAATGAGAAAAACTAGGATTAGCCCAACTTGCCTTTGGACTTAGGACCTCTGTCTACCATGCCCCCCTCAGGGAGGTCTAGATGCTAAGACAGTCAGCTTCCCTGCTGTTTCCCCGTGTGTCGGGTGCTCGCTTACACATCCTCACTCGGCCAACTCCTAACGACGACCTATAAGGTGGGGGCGTTATAACAACGCCTCCTCTTTGCAGGTGTGGGAAGCGAGCACGGAACACACCACGGCTGACAAGGGGGACCAAGGCCGTCGGGTTCCAGAGCGCACGCGCCTCGTCTTTTACAGTGTGTTCTCTTTCCTACTCTTTTTGTTTCTAGCGTGAGAAATAGGAAGCTGTCAGTGTGCCCGAGGGGCTTGAGTTCCTGCCACTGTGGTCCCTGCGAAGGCTCGGCCACCACCCGCGGCGGCGGCGGCAGCGGGGGGAGCCCGGTGTGAGCCCAGCCTACGCCCTCCCGACGGCGGGAGGAGCTGACGATGCGAGGACAGACGGCCCGCGCTCGCTCGCTCGCTCTCTCTCGCTCGCTCTCTCGCTCACCAGCGGGCCCTCCTCCTCCTCCAGGTCCGAGGCCCCGGCGCGCAACACCAGCTCGCGGGCCGCCGCCGCCATGGTCGCCGCCGCTGCCATTCCCCCGCAGCCTCACTTCCGCCAGCTGTCGGGCTCGGGGGGCCGCGTCCCGAAGCACAACCTCAGGTCCCAGATCGTCTCGTTCGGCGCAAGAGAACGTTCCCAGATAGCCGAGCCCAAGCGATGGGCCCC